TTTAATTAAAACATAACCTGCGGGGATTTTTTGCAAAACTTTCAACCACTTTATCATTAAAATTATTTAGGTTTATATTCATTATAGCTCTGTGTACACTCATCATGGTCAGGCCATTAGGGCGACCTTCTGCCGTGGTACTTCTTAGCCATGTTTTCAGTCTTCTGAGGCTGCTAAAGGATCGCTCTACTGTACAGGTCGTACATGGTAAAGCGATAAAAATTTTCAATGCTTTTTCTGTTTCGGGAAAGAAGGAATTTGTTTCTTTTACGACATCAACAACTGTAAGATTTGTTAGATTAAGCCTATCGTGCCACAATTGCTGTCGTGGTTCGATTTCATTCTTTATGTTCGGTAAATCATAAAACTGTGGAATAGATTCACAAGTTTGTTTCAGATTTTCAGTTGTCATCTTTTGCATCTACACCGGGTGTAACTAAGATAATGCGAGTGATGGTGTGTCTTCTTCAGCAAAACGAACTTCCAGAGAGGTGATAATTAAATACAAGTATGATATTACTAAAGACCTCTTCCAGTATTCTGAAGGGTTTTCTGCTGGATAATTGCTTCTATGACATTGTTTCCCCGTGATACGCGGCATTGATGTCCTCCAGTCCGACTTTCTCCGCAAAAGCAGTAGCATCCTTTATAATTTCGTCTGTCACTTTTTCCGGATTTTCACGGTGGTTTTCAATTAAAAGTGAAATCCTTTTAACGTGTTCCGAGGCTTTGACCACGTCCAAAGCTATGATATTACTAAAGACCTCTTCCAGTATTCTGAAGGGTTTTCTGCTGGATGATTGTTTCTCCGTAATACGCGGCATTGATGTAATGTCCTCCTCCAGTCCGACTTTCTCCGCAAAAGCAGTAGCTTCTTTTATAATTTCGTCTGTCACTTTTTCTGGATTTTCACGGTGGTTTTCAATTAAAAGTGAAACCCTTTTAACGTGTTCCGAGGCTTTGACCACGTCCAAAGCTACAGATTGGAGTACGTTGACAACGGGTTCCATCATAGCCGAGTATTTGGCTCTCAACATAATACCGAGAATGAAAGAAATTCTGGAAGTAACCGCATGCAGTTGGAAGGCACTATTTCCTTCCTGAGATAATGTTTGTAAGGCTTCCAGAATCACGGGAAGATTTTCTTTAAAAACTCAAAATATCGCATCCCAATCGATAGTTGTTCAGTGCCAGAAATATCAGCCGTTTCGTCTGCTAGCACACAATATGCTGCTGCTTCTTTCACTTTTTTCATAATATCAGCTTTAATAACGCTTCCACAAATACCAATAACTTAATTTTGAATATCCACTGAACGGTAGCGACGCCCTTTATCTAAACAGTGCATCACTAGTATGAACACTCCCAAGAAAGTTATCACATATGTTGCGGTTTTGTAAACTGTTAAAAAATCTCACAATGAAGTGTCACTTGAATATCAAAATTGGAAAAAAATATTTTGCTACCGAGCAGTTCTTTACATTAGACAACTCGTAAAAGAAAGTAAACTCACCAACAAGCCTACTCTTCCTCAAATCCCCTACCCTGAACATCATGCACAGTTCCCCATCTCTCAAGCACACTACGGCATTTCGGGAGAATTGAATTGTATATGTGGTCATTCTGGGTCTAGTCAGTTTTGCAAAAACCACTCCTACTGTAAAAGAATCGATGATCATACCAATAATACACTGGGCACACATTAGAAAGATTGCTTCTGGACACTCCTCGGTGATAGCTCTGAAACCGTATCCTGTAGTGTGTTGAGTTTCTAGAGAATAAAGGAAGCAGGAATGGAATCCGTTGATGTTGAGGACGCATGGAATCCAACCTTGAAAATAAACTCAACTTAGTATTTTAATGAAACAAGAAGACATTCGAGCTCTTGCTTGAAGAACGTCTGACTTCGTCGAATTCTAACTACGTCAAAATCTCAGTACGTCTGATTCTCACTACGTCGAAATCTCACTACACCGAAAGCTATTCCATCCACTGACGTCACCAAAATACGAAAACTGTCGATACTTAAATACATTTTAAATAGCGGGAATTAAACGTAATGAGAATTCGACGTAGTGTGTAGGGAGAATTCGACGTAATGATACTCCTTGCTTCTAGGCAAATCATTCTTTTCATTGGTTGGTTAACGGAAACATTCTTTTTCAACCCTCCGATTTTTTTACATCAATGAAAGGAATCCAAACAGAAAAACTTATCGCGAATACCATTCCTTTCCAAATATTTGCATGTCTAAAATTAACTATTCAAAGACGGATTTCTACCAAACGGACTCGCTTGCGACAGTTTCGTTTCCATAAACAGAAACAAAAAACTTAAATTTCACTAAACAGACCAGAACTAGTTTGGTCGCGTGTTCTGTTGTGAACTGTTTTCTATCATTCCCACTCTACGAACAGCAATTGAAATACTGCATCCTTCAACTATTCGTTGCTTTTTTTCGCTAATGTTTTATATATGAAAACCCACACAGATTGACGCTTTGAATAAAGTAAAAATGACGCCGACCATTTCCACATAGCGAACTCAGTTCACTTAAACACGGACAAAATACCAAAACCCTTTAATCTTTCTGCCTGCCAACATTTCATTGTTCTTCAAAATATTTCTTATTTTAACAACTCAAGTTTTTGTTTTGTCGAAATCGACAAAGTTGCTGTTTGGTCTATTTGGTGGAAATCCACTATGAGGAAAGTTGATTAACACACATTAGGGTATTCACTACTGCCTGGAGAACTGGAGCTGCAACTAATTCACGAAAAACATCTCAAACATTATTAAACGAATGCGCCGCAGCTTCAAATCGATGAAGTTGACTACCGACATGGATGTCCTTAAACACCTAGAGTCCCCAGCTAAGGGTTTCCAATCCAAAAAATCAGCCCAGAAAGCGCTCAGCACCGCTCCATAGAAACCTATATGTTGGTTTCGCTACAAATGATGACACTTTGTTATTTGAAGCCACAAGAAACAAGCAAGAGAAGGGAAAAGAAGGAAAGATACAATTTTTGGATGTACTGGTAAACAGAAAAACTGATGGAAAACTAGGTCACACAGTATATCGCTATCCTACCTGATCAAATCTACTTGGTCGGTATCTCAACGAAAACTCAAACCGCCATCCAGGGCAAACCCGTACCATAATGAAAACTCTTATCGATCGTGCCATCAGGATTTATGAGCCACATCTTCTTGAAGAAGAACTTCGTCATTCAGACCAAGTTCTACAGATCAATGGATTTAGAGCGCTCTACATCCTAGAAGAAATACTCCAACTCCGATCACTACTCAGCCGACGGTGATAGACACAGTATAATTGACTTACAAAAATAATGTCACGTACTGTATTGGAAAACTGTTCAAACGTCACAGCATTGAGATGATTCGAAAGCCATCTAATCAACTACGCAACACTATCAAATCGACCAAGGAGCCTCTGACATCTGCATGTGTTTACAGGATTCGCTGACTCTTAGCTCTGTTTACATAGGGACTACTAAACTTAGCATCAACATCAGGGTGCAAGAACATAAGTGTGGTTGTCGCCTTATTCATCCTGAGACATCCGTAATTGCAGAACATGGCCTGGCAGAAGCAGACTACACAATAAAATACGAAGAAACTGCTGTCCTATCTAATTCAACGAATTAATTCGCACGACTTCATTGGGAGGTCATTGAGATCCCAAAAAAATCGATAGAACATAAGAAGGTATACTGATCAATAGAACATGGTATCCAGGATACAAGAAGGTCAGAAATGGACTAGAATACAACTTCAATCGATATCCCACCAGAATACCTGGCAACAACGTGGATCAATCAGAACAACCTAGCAAGAGTGCGAAGCAATAAAAATTTAGCATTCAAATGGAAATCCTCACCCCAGCAACTTCTAAAGTTATAGATATGAATAAACACGGAGCTCGACAGTCAGTAATTGATACGACTAAATATGGGAATATGGGAATGAATGGAACTTGCTCCATGCCAACTGGGTTGGTTAAACGCGCCTAGAGAAGAGTTTTGCATTTCTGTGTTGAGTCAACTTCCGATGTTGAACAAATTCATCGCTCCATGACTTTTAGGCTTACTTACCGGTTTCTGCCTGTCGTGTTGGTAAGTGATCTTCATGCAAATCGGTATGTACGAAAGCAATTAACCACCAAAGGAGGGCAAAAGTCAACCAACATCCTAAAAAACCAATTACCATGACCTGCAAAGTCCACTTCCATTCCGCATCCACCAAACTAGTGAAAATATCTTTTACGTAACGAAGATATCTTTTTGTGAATTTGGGTTTTATGATATTATATTCACCACTTTTCAAAATGGCTCTTTTTCTTGCTTTGTGTTTTGAAATATTGGGGCCATATCGCTTTCTGAAAGGAAAAATAATTCAAATTTATGTAGCAATATTTTTTCTTTGTCGTATGCAATATAATAGTCTAGATATAAATTGAGGAGAGGTTGAAAACGAAAATATAAACCTAAATTTAATTCTCAGAACACAAACTATATATGAATTTATGTAGACTGTTGAATATGATATCTAGAGATTTCAACATCTTGACTTGTATCAAAGGAAATATAGCTTCATGAAAAATGAAAAATAAAACGTCCTATGTTTTTATACCATTTGTATTTTTAACTAACGTTACTACAATTTCATCCTATAAGGACGTTTTTAAACGAATACAATAGTTTATTTTATCATTTTTCTCACTGAAAGAGCTAGGGTTTGATTTTTGTCAATAATATTTCAAAATAGTCAACTTTGTTGACTATTGTCTGCGGTTTATAAGATACCAATCCGAGGTTTGAATCTGAATAATCGTGAGAAAAATTTTTAATTAAAAGAGGTACTTAGTCGAAGTAGGCGGGTTGGCTGTCCTTGTTCATCTTTCAGTCTCTGAACCACTGTGCCTGCTGGTTTTGTGAGTGCATTGGCTTGGGATGTGGAGGTTGAGCAAACCGGTCATCGGATGCCTGCTTCCTCGTAGCCTCGCTGGATACGGAAATGACAGAATCACTTATGCTTTTGTTATTCCCTAACTGAATGGCATCCCAACGATGGCTTAATCCTAAGGTGTGTGTATCCGTGCCGAGAGGATGAATGACACTGAGCCTATCAGCTGTCTCTACGGAACCTTCGAGATACTGGGCGCCCTCTCGTCGTAGCATCGCTTTGTCACGGTAATGCGGGGCTCTGCCGTGATTGACCTTCTTTCCCTAGCTACTCGTGGGACTTTTATGGAGAGAGTAAACTTAAAAATTCTTTCTGACGCTGCTTACGACCCCCCTGTAAATTTAGATCAGCAGCGAGAGCTTCTCAACTCTCCAACTCTTGATCCAATAGCTTAACCTAAAAAAAGGTTTGGTGGTGCAGCCAGGAAACAACTGAGTCGTCTTCTCAAGAGCGGGGTACCTTATGAAACGGCCTTGCACCAAATTTTTGAGCGGCGTACGCAGAATCTGTCTCAGGTGGAGGAACAAACCCCCCATGAATGATGATTCACTAAAACCAGAGGCGAAAAAGCCCTGCACGGGTGAATCTAAGGCATCGTTAGGTGTAGCTGACTTGCAGAAACCCACACATGAGAAGGTTGTCGCGGGTATCAAGGTGGAAACTTTGCACCTTGACTATCCGACTACCTCATTAACGATGATATAGCAGAGCATATACTTTGTGCCTGCCCCGAATCAGGTTTTTAGAGTTCGGCAGAGCCGTACTCTTACCATCTAACCTGAAAGACCACTCACCACACAAACTAATCGGCTTCGTCAAGAAGCTGGGTTTGTTTGGCCGAGTATGGATAGGTGTGAGCCATAATAAACCCTGGCGGGTTGCGGTGAAGGGTCGAATAGATCCACTCACTTTGGACCTTACCTATACCACCTCTCTGAACCCCATGAGCAGGTTAGCAAACGTTTGCATACAAGTGATGAGTCACCAGAACCAGAGGCGAAAATGTCCTGCATTTTTGAATCTAAGGCATGGTCAGGTGTAGCTGAAGTGCAAAAACCCTCATATGGGAAGATTGTCGCGGGTATCAAGGTGGAAATCTTGCACCTTGACTATCCGACTGCCTCAATAACGATGAAATAACAGAGCCGTACTCCTACCATCTGACCTGAAAGACCACTCACCATACAAAGTAATCGGCTTCGTTAAGAAGCTGAGTTTATTTGAATATGTGTGAGCCACAATAAACGCTTGCGGGTTGCGGTGAAGAGTCGAATAGACCCATTCACTTTGGACCTACCCTAGTCAAAGTATTCTTCACAGCAGTAATATACATGACATTTTGAAGTGGATAGTTTTCCTTTGGTTTTTGGAATACTGAACATTTAGCAAAATAAGCTACAAAAGTAACAAAATATGGAAATTTTATATGAGGAAACGTATCAAAAATCCAAAAAAAAACTTGGCAATAAAGGAGGAATGATTTTGAATGAGATGAAAGAAGGGAGAACAAAATTTGAAAGAGAAAAGTCAACTAGAAAAGTCAAGATCACTGAAGGTAGGAAGCAATATATAAAACCAAATAATACACAGACAATTTTGGAAGAGCCGTGGGAGATGGAGAGACCAGAAAAGTACCGAATGGAAGGCATGATACATCGATAGATAAAATAGATAAAGGTGAATCTGAGTATGAAAAGTTCAACTGATAATCCTATTATATTGAGGCTTGAAATAAAGCGAACCCCACCTACGGTCTGATGACTTCGACAATTGCGGAACTAGTCAAATGTTACACCCGTGCTCAATCCTTAAAGAGATGGGATGGAATCATGGACGTAGAAAAATTCTACGTCCATGGATGGAATCGAAGGATGTAATCTTGTCAAGATCACCTGGGCGACCCTGGGAAGCTGGCGCCGAAAAAATATGACCAGGAAAAATCTACGCCTAATAGTAGGATTTCTGACTGGCCACTGTCAACTAAGGAAACTCCTCCATAATATGGGGCTAGTGGACACACCTCTTTGCAGGATGTGTATACAGGAAGATGAGACTGTCAGGCATGTCCTGTGCGAGTGCCCGGAGTTATNATCCAAAATTATCACAATTTCGAATTTATGATGAAGCATTTCTGATGCTGATAAATTGAAGAAGGGAGAATTATTGTCTATTTTGTGGATTATTGTTAGCGGCCAAACCATGAAAAGGTCAGAACCCATGTCATCACATTGCACCTCCAGTTTTGTTTCATAATTGGCTAGTCTCTCACCTTCTATTGTTCTTTTAGAGTGTATAACAATTGCTCTAGCACTAACACCTGAAAAATATAAAATTTTGTCATTATTATGTAAGTTATGAGAAAACTAATATATAAAACTTTAAAAATAGAATAAGATAGAAGGTATCAACTCTACGAAAGGCAGAAAGGCCACCATTTTTATTACGACTTTACTCTCGAAGTTTTAACTTTGAACTCGAAATTACGAGATTGAAGTCGAAATTTCGAGCTTGAAGTAGTAATTTCGAAATATGACGTGAATCCAATATTTAGGCCAACAAAAACTATCAGACAAAGTCTGAGGTCACGTAAGGAACTCAGGTAACCTTCAGCAACACCCAAGGTTTGCCGTATTTTTTGTAGCTGCGGGTCGGTCTACTCAAACATTGGAACCACGAAAAGAAGTTAAGGTACCCGCCTCTCCGGCGGGTTGGCTGTCCTTGTTCATCTTTCACTGCCTGAACCACTGTGTATGCTATTTTTGGCGAGTGCATTGGTTTGGGATGTGGGGGTTGAGCATATCGGCCATCGGATGCCTGCTTCCACGTAGCCCCGCTGGATACGGGAATGACAGAACAACTTGTAGTTCTGTTATTTCCTAACTGAATGGCATCTCAACCATGGCTTAATCCTGAGGTGTGTGTATCCGTGCCGAGAGGATGAATGACACTGAGCCTATCAGCTGTCTCTACGGAACCTTCGAGAATCCGGGCGCCCTCTCGTCGTAGCATCGTCTTGTCACGGTAATGAGCGGCTCTGCCGTGATTGAACTTTCTATCCCTAGCTACTCGTGGGACTTTTATTGACAGATTCCTTCTGACGCTAAGTCTACAGAGGAGATGGATGTCGAGCTCTCGACTCCAACTGACCTCCCTGTAAATTTAGATCAAGAACGAGAGCTTTTCAACTCTCCAATTCCTGATCCAATAACTGAACCTAAAAAAAGGGTTTGGTGGTGCAGCCAGGAAACGACTGAGTCGTCTACTCTAGAGCGGGGTATCTTATGATAGATAGATAGATAGATAGATTTATTGATCTCTTCGAATCATTTACATGACATGAGATAAGTCTAATAACCGTGTTCGGTTGCGAATCAGGATGATATTCTTTTTTGAGTTTTTTGTACAAATTTATATCAGAAGGGTCATTACTGCTATCTGCGATAACTTTGATACTCATCAATGACTCTCAGAAAGATTTAATATAGTGGATCACATCAGCCGCCGTCCACCATACAGTAACCATCGTCTGTTTTGGTGGGCTTTCGTCTTTGGGAAGTGCATGGGTGACTCGTCGGTGTCCAACCGCTGTCCTGAAGGTCTCCAGTTGTCGTAAATTATCAAAATTCATCAACCGTGATGATCCTATCCAAAAAAGTGTTCTTGGTTGCGCAAAAGCAAACAAGCACAGACCTCAAAACACGACATTTTCTATCGATTGTTGAAATCGTGGGGCTCTCATTTCTCAAGCTTGTTGACCTTTCCATACGTTTGGAACCGAATGGGATGGGTCAGTCTCTGGAACGAAATTTAGTGAATCAACGTCGAACAGTGCGTTCATTAACACTATCATTACCAAATGCCTGGTTGATTGTTCGAGCTATTTTGGCAGGGTTTTAGCTCAACCTAATACTTTATATATCAGTTTTGATTGATCAAATACAAATATTTTCTGTTTCCACGTATTCTTCTTCTGGATTTCATTTATAGCTGATGCTCATTGACAGTGGCATAACTATAGAGTGGCAAGTCAGCAAAATGCCACGGGCCCCCAGCCGGAAGGGGCCAAGGTCAGAGGAGAATCCCAACCCCAATGCGGTTTATGTCCAATGTATTGCTCATAATTTGAATTTGGCATTGAATGATGCAGTGAAAAAGGTCATAGAAATACAAACATCATTCGAAACTGTGCAACAAATTTATAATTCTTTGGGCCATAGTGTTAAACGATGGAATGTGTATTATTTAGTTTTATATCTGACAGTAAAGGAGAGACCGGGGTATCATCAAATTCAGTAACATTAAAAACAATGGATCCATCTAGATGAGCAGGATGCTTTGATGCCATGTTTGCTTCAAAAGTGCGGTTTGTTGATGTTCAGAAATTGCTTACAAAAACTGTTTTATTAAATTCCAAAACATTTTTATTATGTTGTTGGTTTTCCATTGCGAAGTCTTACAAACTATAGACGAGGCTTCTAAAGCACTTCAGTCTTAAGCCATCGATCTTTCAAATGCTTTGAAGTGTCTGCAAATCTGTCTAGAATATCTTGAGAAGTATCGACATGAATTTGAAGACTAAAAAATGGAAGCAAATAGTATTGCAGTGAAGTGGTCTTTAAACCCTGAATTTCCTAAAACTCGTCAGAGGAGAGGGAAACGCCATTTTGATAAAAATTTGTGAGGATGAACCTCTCCAAGATCCTGCAAGCTTGTTTGAAGTGAACGTATCCTATCGTGTATTAGACATAATCATTAATCAACTGAAATCGCGTTTCCTTGGAATGAATGAAATTGTTTCCAATTTCAGTGTCTTGCAACCTGCCACTTTGCAAAATTTGAACGATACTGATTTATTGGAAAACGCTTTAGCATTTGTCCATCTACATGAAAAAGATATATCCATCTCGTTTTCCAAGGAAGTTCTCAGTTTTCGATCCACTTTTAGACACGAAATAGAAACTTCATCTTCTATAAGAGAACTTGCTGACTTATTAATAATAAAAAATCATTCTATATATTCAAGCTTTCCTGAAGTGTGCACTACATTTCTATTATTTCTCACCATTCCTGTGACTACGGCTAGTGCCGTGCGAATATTTTCGAAACTGAAATTGATAAAAACTTATTTAAGAAATTATATGGGACACGACAGGTTGAGCAACTTGGCTATTCTATCCATCAAAAATTCTACTGATGTCATTACCACTTTTGCTGAACAGAAAGTCCAAAGGAAGGAATTTTAATCATTATATTGTTGTGAGCACCTTGTGTGCTTACGACAATATGATGATTCGAACTGCGTACCTATATTAAATTGCTTTTTCATTTTTTAAATCATTTTGACTACTCTATGTGCCCATATCCATTAAACGCTGACTGTACTTTACATTAGGTACTTTTAATTTAAATTGAATTATTAGAAAATCAAGTATAAAGTTTGTATGTATCTACTTAACGTAGTGCTTTATTATTGTACTCATACAAGCAAAAGTGTATAAATAAGTATTATAAAATGAAAAAATAGTATTATTGTTGGTTCAGCTTCTTTATATTGGGGGGAGGGGGTCCATCAGATGAATTTGCCACGGGCCTCGAACGGTATAGTTACGCCACTGCTCATTGACAATCTTTTCTATGGCATTGTGAATGCATTTTCGTGAGATAGCTAGTGCACAACAATGTAGGAACTAAAAGGGTAGGTTTTAAAAAATTCAAAAACTATCGTCACCTCATAAATCTGTTTTCACCTTAACGATATAACCGCAAACAATTCGATCTTAACAAAAACAGGTAATGGTATATATAATTTTGTATAAAAATATGTATTTCATCACATCATTAATAAATTATTTACAAAACACTTGCCACTCTATTCGAAACGATTTTATATGTATTTCACTAAACAAGGTTGATCCTCATTGACGTCTTCTTCTTTTTCTTCGGGAATGTCATAATGCAGTTTCAGAACACTCTTGTTTTCCGGTTCCGCTTGCTTCTCAGTCGAAAAATTTTCACCCTTTTCTACGTCCAAATGGTTTACTAGGGGATGAGCTGAAGGTGTTTCTATTGGTTGATATTGGTTCAACGGCGCAAATTGGGCGAAGCCATTCGCTGACGAAACTCCCGTGAGGTATTTGGCCTCTGATTCTGAAAAAGAATATTCAACATGAAACAAAATTTAGAAATGAAAAAATGAATAAAATTAATAAATCATGTTCATTCATTTGTAAAATCATAATTAAGTTCATTTTATCAAAATATATTTCCTTCAGGCAATGTTTCATGTCTTAACTTCCACCTAGTCTGCATTGAAAATAGGTTGAATTCAACCATTGAATTCAATAATTCAAAAGTGATTTCTTACTGCATATGCTTCTCATATTATCCTAAAATTTTAGTTCACGTGTTTCACCAAAAATTCTATATCAGGTAAAATCATCCAAGATTTGTGGGATAACATTATAGGGAGTATACTGTTTGGAGTCTTATAACTTATTGAGGAGAGAGACATATATGTTTAAGAATATCGAAATGAAATCTCAAAACATTCATCTCTCCCAACGTTTGCACATAGTACGATCAAACAACTACTTCTCTGGATGATACCACGATGGACATTGGATTATATCCCATAGACATCTATACAATCTATACCTCTCAGAGGCGTCTCGCAAATGTTTTCTGTTTATTAGCAGCAAGACCATGCTGAAATTATTCGAGACCGGTTTCGAGATCTTACCTCTCATCAGTATAGGTAAATTCCGACAAAAACAGCAGAGTATAGTCGAAGTAAACGATATCGAGTACTCTTAAAGTTGGCGGCACTCTCAAAGGCCACAAAAACCAATACATAGAAATGAACCGGCAGCGAACTAGTCCACGTGGACTATGGACTTGACAGTTCGTATTGGATAATTTTTACCAACCGAGTTTTATATGATTGGCTGAAGAGTTATACAATTGAATTTGAAGTCATGTTACAGTGACGAATAGAAATCGGGAATGCGGGGATGGTTATCGCCGTCGTGTTCAGTTCAAGAACTGATCGCGATTTGAAAGTTGAAATTCGATATTGGTGCAGTTATAATTACTTGAAATTGTTGTTATCTGTTTAAAATATGGCGTTCTTGGACAATATTAATAGTAATAACGAGTTTGATACCAACGCAGACTTTTTCCAGTGTAGTGATTCCAATAGCGATGATGAACAATGTGAATGAGATTCGGATACACTTGAGTATTGACACACAGAGAGAATGTTTCAATGTATAGAAGAGTCTACATCTCAAGTTTGATTTCAATGAAAACAAACTATCACAAGCAACATCAGATTTGACAGAAATTCCTTTCTCAACTGTACGTGAAATAGTCAAAAACAAACTTTATGAACGCAAAACGCGAAGTGATACAGGATTATCAAAACTTTTAGATGTTTATCTAATAAAATCACTGAAAAAAACAATATATCTACGACTGTAACAAAAGCGATGAGATTCCTCCAACTGAAATCATAAGGAAGAAATTGAATACTTCCGACCATAACGTGAGCTGCTGTGACAAAACTCTTCAGAATTGGTTTAAGAAGCTAGGATTTAGATTTGAACAAACGTCAAGCAGTCATGGAAAGCAGAAGAATAGTGCAATTGCCTAATTAATACTTATAACAAATAACCGAATATAGACATGAATAGGTGGAAAAATTTTCTATTTGGACGAAACTTAGTATGACACTCACGATACAGTTACAAAAGGGTGGATTGATGGTTCGAGAATGTGTACGCCTAACATGCCTGCAAACAAATGATTGCGACTAATCATTGTGAGTTGCGTAGGAAGTAAAATATGGGTTCCAAATTCTTTGAAATTATGTGGAAAAAAACTTCTGATTTGCATTGTTGACTATCATAAAAACATGGAAGCTAATATTTTCGAAAAATGGTTTGAAAACACATTGATCCCAAATTTGGATGCGAATAGTGTAATAGTTCTTGACAACGCTTCCTACCAATGAAAATTCGGGGAAAGATGAAATACAAAGTTTTTTAATGGATAACAATTTGTATTTCAAAGATTACTATATCAAAAACCAACTACTTGAAATTTTACAGACAAAAACGTTTGGAAAAGTGTATGCCCTTGAGAGCATTGCTGAAACGTATGGACACACCGTACTGAGACTTCCCCCCTATTTTTGTGTTTGCAATACTATCGAGTTGATTTGGAGAAAATTGAAACAAAGCATCAGGCGTTAAGATAAGTTTCAAAAATTTGATAAGAAGGTAATAGAGTGACTTAAAGAAGAATTATATGATATTACTGAAGAAGACTGGCAGAAAAGTAATTTTAAGGGGGGCAAACCGCGGACACGTGTTTCTGGCTATTGGCGGCATCAGCGCGGTGCAGCTAAGTGTAGAGATGGGCAACACTTGTTTGCCGAAAGCAAGAAACAACACAAATGCACGGAGTCAACAACAGGAGCCAACCGCAATTTGTGGTTCCAGTTAGAAGACCTAGAATTTCTAGGCTACATCTAACATGACCACGTAGGCAGCTATAGCTACCTGTGTGACATCCGGGTCCAGGATATAAATACAAATAGAGATTTTTTCGAGTGTGCATGATACAAATGAAAAATGAAACAATTCGTGGACACAACACTTTAAAAAGGGGGTGCAAACCGCGGACACGTGTTTCTGGCTATTGGCTTCATCAGCGCGGTGCAGCCAAGTGTAAAGATGGACAACACTAGATGTAGTATAGAAATTCTAGGTCTTCTAACGGGAACCACAAATGTGCGGTTGGCTCCTGTTGTTGATTCCGTGCGTTTGTGTTGTTACTTGCTTTCGGCAAACAAGTGTTGCCCATCTTTACACTTGACTGCACCGCGCTGATGATGCCAATAGCCAGAAACACGTGTCCGCGGTTTGCCCCCCCTTTTTGCAGTGTTGTGTCCACCAGAAATGATAATTGAAAAACGGAATTAGCTAACTCCCTAACTATACTAATAAAGGGGAGTTATTGGAAGGTAGGTTGCACTATATCGTTTACTTGAACTATACCATGAATTTATTGCTGGATTCAACTGCCCTTAGAGAATGAGCCTGAGTAAATAGAGGCGATGACATCTTACCCTACGAAGACATCATTTATAAGATCGACAGAATATTTAATCCACGAATATTCAAGATGAGATGATATCAGAAATCGAAATGATTGAAACTATTCGTGCAGAAATGCATTGCATTCGGTATATCGATCATTCATTAGCGATAGAAGAAAAGCAAATATGAAAGAATACTCACCAGAAGCTTGTTGTATCCTGTAAAATTCCGCTAAGTCAGCTCCTGAACAGAAAGGTGTATCGATGGCAATAGTATTATTGAATTTCGAGTAATTCACTTCATAACCCTGTCTGTCTTTATTGTAAAAAACTACCGGTTCGAATCTGTGTCCCCACAACACTTCACTTGCAAGATAACTCGATCTAGCTTGAGTGGTCTGACCAGTACTTTCAATTGTTCCTTCTAATATAACTACTATTTCGAACTTATCATGTATCATATCACTGGCACCGAGGTAGTAAAATGGCGAATTTTCGTCAATCCTGTGGACGATCGTCATGGGCCAGATGAAAAACAAGTTTCCATCGCAGCCATCTGCACTCAGAGACAGTTCCGTTTGGAAGGTGTTCAAGAGTTCACCCTCCTTAGTCTTTTTGGCACGAATGAGCTGAGCGCGGATACTAGCTCCGATGATGTGACTCTTTCTCATGTCGCCCACTCTGAACAAGAGGCAGAGGTACCCGTCACGCTGGCAGACCAAAATGTTTTTGGAAAACTGAAGAGTTTGCGTTCTCAGTTTCGGTCTAGTCATTTTTGCGAAAACTATACCGACCATAAAAGCCTGGATGATCATTCCGGCTATGCTTTGGAGACACATTATGAAAATGGCTTCTGGACATTCTTCCGTCGTAGTGCGTACACCATAACCTGCAGAAGAATAGAATTTTGACTCAATGTTAGATTATGAAGATGGGAAATATTTCACTGTTGTGAAGGAATCAGGTTTGGGTGTTCAATGTTCAAATTTTGCGGACTACGTACAATCGATTAGTGATTTTTTTTATGTGTTCGGCTATTTTCTGCTATCGAAAAATATGGCATCAGTCTGGCAAACAGCTCCTAACTAAGTATTTATAACAATGGCATGAGGGTTTGCTGGCCAAACTTCGCAGCTGTGGCTTGTTGGATCATTTTTATGTATGACTCTTCAGCTTCCTGAAAGAACGTTCCCTGCAAGTTCCCCAGGGATTTATATTGTCTCCAACTCTTTTTCTATTGTATATCAACGACTTATTGGAAAAAAACAAGAATACAATATATTGCTTTGCTGACGAAAGCACACTTGTTTCTTCATTCTATTTGGATTCAAGGACATCGGCGACGGATGCACAACTTCACCGGCAGCAGGAAGTTGCATATCTTAATGAAAGTTCAGAAGTAATTTTGAATTGGGGTGGAAGTAACCAGGTTCAATTCTATGTCACAAAAACCCAAGCGTCAGTTTTCTCCAAAAATATAGATGTCTACGACCCAGATGTAATAATGTAAGGCCAGACACTTCCACCTTTTGCTTCGATGAGTTTGTTGAGGGTTAAACTGAACACTAATATGTATGTCTTGGCACTGGCCTGCCCCTCTGGACCTGTATGTTAAGGAGGTTGCATTAATAGCCATGCTACGATTGCGCACGGCTGGTGTAAACCTCGGAGTAGGAATGGGTCGATTGAAGCTGAGCCTTTGGCGAGAAGGGCTTACTGCGCAACTTCTGCTTCAGACAGCCAGTGATGCAATTCAACTAAGGTTTGTGTTTAATAAACCCTACAAAATACAAATAAAATAGAACACAGAGTCAGATGCTACAAATACAATACGCATATATTCAGACGGCTCAAAAACCAAAGAAGGCTCAGGATGTGGAGTTTACTACAGATCACTAAGCCTAAGGATTGAGTGGGGAATAGGAAAAAAGTCCATAACAATCTGCACTGATAGTAGTCAAGCCCTATATCCTTGAACAGACAACGTGTATCCTCAGGGCTAGTACTAGAGTGTCACCAAGATTTAGCCAAAGCCTCGGTAGATAATAACATTATCCTGGGGTGGGTTGGAGGGCACGACAGGAATAAAGATAATCGCATTAGTGACTCTTTAGCCAAGGAAGCGGCTGGACTAAGAATTTCTGGACCCAGTGACACCTACGGCCTGATGACTTCGACAAGTGAGGAACCAGCCAAACGTCACACCCATACTCAATCCCTAAAAAGATGGGATCGAATCAAATGATGCAGTCTTGCCTAGATGACCCTGGGCGACCATCGGAAGCTGGCGCCGAAGAAATATCTGGCGATGACCAGGAAAACCTAAGCTTAACAGTAAGATTTCTGGCTGGCCACTGTGAACTGAGGAAATACCTCCATAATATGGGGTGTTTTCTCTATGCAGGATGTGTGAACAGGAAGATGAAACTATCAGGCATGTCCTATGCGAGTGTCCGGAGTTATCGTCAATAAGAGAATGTGAGTTCGGCGACTCTTGGCCAACATCTGCCGATATAAAGGAGATGTCTTCTAGTGACCTGTCCATCTTCCTAGAAAGAACTGGATGGACGATGACCTAGGAGGACAACTCCTCGGGAGGATGTACAATGGGTCACATGTTGCCTAAATACTGTGGGCCTACACTCACCCTCCCTACTCTACAGATAGATATGTCCTGGCACAATCATGTCGCTGGAATTGCAAAAGCCGCTTCTCAATAGCTTGGAACACTGTTCCGAACCAGAAAACTGTACACACCTCAGCATCAGGCACCGCTCATAGAGCACGCTAACGATTTTCCTATAGTGCTTGTGTTTTTGTCTTAAAAAATGGACATTTAGCACCCCACGCTTTAAAAAAAATAGGTTCATTCTGATTTCAGACTGATTGAAAGTCATTAGTTACATCGAGCCATAGGACTTAATATTGATGTGGCATACAACCTTAAATTAGTTTCGAATCATTTCTTATTTTTTAATCTGTGTTGCTATCAAAGCGTGTTTTTCAGTTTCTTAAATTATTATTTATTTTCCATTTTTTTTTAGTTTGACTTGCTATTTCAATCCCATTCATTTTAATATAAAATATATACGCATGCGCAGACAGTGTGGTTGTCTCAATTGCTCTAACACAGAGATTATGTGAGGAAATTATTTAATCATGGCGATTTTGATCAGGATAATGGCATAAACTTATGAAATTATGTATTGTCAGCGATTCTTGATGGGTGTACAAGGTTTAAAATTCTTTTGGTAAAGTTAGTCAAAATAGAGTCCAAAGGATTCGGTTATAAACAAGTATACACCTGAAGCTAATAAAAGCGTGTTAATAATGGTACTTTGTAGTTTTACGCAGGCTTAGTACCTAATATCATGGGACAGGGAAGATCTGAATAACTACCGTGGAGTAGCTCTCCTACCTATTTTAGCAAAATTAGCTAAGAAAGTGATTTACCTTAGAATAATTAATCATTTTGAGGAGAACAGTTTTATCTCAGAACATCAGAATGGTTTAAGGAAAGGAAAATCTACAGCTGAAGCAGTGATAAGATTTGTTGAGTTTGTAGCCGATGGGTTTGAAGCCGCAACTCCCTCTCTGGCGGTTTTCGTTGACCTCCGTAAAGCGTTTGACTGTGTCAATCACACTATACTAATATGATAAGTTAAAATTCTATGGATTTTCTGACTCCGCAATAAAATTGATGACCTCATATCGTCAAAATAGATCCCAAATAGTTCACTGTAATAATCAGAGCAGTTTGAGTCTGATAATACACAAAGGTGTTCCACAAGGAAGCGTTTTGAGACCGCTATTGTTCTTGATCTATATAAATGATCTACTCAAAAGCATAAACGCATTAACAACCTTGTTTGCTGATGATGCTACCTTCGCAACCAGAATCGAAAAGAATTCCACAAGAATTGATGAAATGATTGGATCGATCATCAATCAAGCTACTGAGTGGTTCACGACAAACGAACTAAGCTTAAACACACGCAAGACAGACACTTATTTTCAATACCAACCATACCGCCAATCACAGCGTAAAATTTCTGGGATATATTATTGATCCCAACTTAAATTAGAAACTTCATAAAGATCAATTAACAAGCAAGTTATCAAAAGCAATATTTGCAATTAGACGAATGAAATCGCTAGTGAACTTGGAGGCAGCCATCTCAGCTTACCATGGAATGTTTCACTGTATTATGACTTACGGTCTAATTAACTGGGGCCAATCTTGCTACACTCATTCGATATTTATTATCCAGAAAAGAGCTATTAGAGCTCTGGCCGGTATAACTCAAAATGAAAGCTGTAAACCATGTTTCATTAAGTTTAAAATACTGACACTTCCGTCAGCAATTATTTACAACGAACTAATCTACGTAAAAACGCACATGCATTTGTACACACTTAATGGAGATTCACACAATTATCTGACTAGTATGAGATCCCATATCGCTATTCCGAATAACAGATTAACATCTACGAATAAAAAATTTTTCGTAGACTTTATCAAAGAAGCTCCAATAGCCATTTTTAAAGCAAAGCTGAAAACTCACTTACAATGCTCTGCCTATTATGACATCTCTGAATTTAGATTTCCTCAATGTTAGTCAATAAACTGTGTGTAACATTATTGAACCCATTTCAACAAACATGTAAATAAATTTTATAAATATTGAAATTTGGAATCCAAAAAAACAGTGACGTGAAAATGTATAATTATTATTGTGAAATCCAATATGCATATTTTATTTATAAACAAATGTTATTTAGTTTTAGAATTAGGTGTAGTCAATGACTTGTCAAAACACTATGTCGTGTATTACTGACCAATAAAGTACAATACAATACAATTATCGGTACTTTCTTACCTATCGTATGTTGAGTTTCAATCGAAAATAAAAAACATGACGTGAATCCGTGAATATTGAGGATACATGGAGACCAGTTCGAATTAGCCTGATGCATTGGAAGATGATCTTCTTCAAGATCGCCGTGTGTGAAAGAGATAAGCCACCATATCAGGGCGAATATTAGCCAAGATCCTAAAAATCCTACAGCGAACACTGATAAGGTCCATCTCCATTGAGAGTCAACAAGGGTTGTGAATATGTCTTGTAGGAACCTGAGCCTCCGTCTTGAGATCCGTGATTGGAGTATATTGCAGTCACCGTTTTTTAAAACTGCCCTTTTACGCATTTTTCTCGCGGCATTCGGCCGGAAAGATCTCCTGCGAACAAAAATTGTATGACATTTTCATAGAAACTTATTGAGAAACAGTTATTGAGAAACACTCCAGTGACTGTGTTAGATTATAGCAATTTTACAAAGTTTCATGAAGATTTTGTCAAAAATATTGAAAGGTTAGTTGGAAAATGACGTGACTAACAACAATATCTCATGGAAAAGGATATATTTTCAGGAACAATTAGTTTTTGGGAAAGGAAGAATTATGGCTTTCTATTTCTCCATCCTTATACAAAAAATGTGAAAAACTTTCGATGGAAGAAAAAAGAGATAGGTTCAAATCTAAAGAAATGAACTTTAAATGTTCAAGCCCGTCTCGGATATACCTACACAGTAGGGTTAATTGACTGACGCCTATCAGAAAACATCTACTCCACTGGCTAATACCGCGAAGGGCGTTGGATTATATCCGACAGGCATCAGTGCAGGAATCTTCACAGAAAATTTCCTGCATACGCAATTGGTAATACAACTGAAAGAATCGACCTTCAGTTTTGGAACGGGCACACTTGTAGACCGGTTTCGGGCTCCTTAGCCACTCGTCAGTGCAATATAGTGACCATCATCGACCTGAAGTCTATGATATTCCATAATTGAAAATCGAAATTCTTCCAGAGTATTTCATTCCTCTTCCTAACTTGAAGCGAACAACAAAATGTTACTCCATTTAGTGGACGAGGTACTAACCAACTGCATATATACTCCAACGCCGTTTCGATGGTATTAGCCAGTGAAGTAGTTGTTTTCTGATGGGCATCAGTCCATTCAACCTACTGTGTAGGTAAATCCGAGACATTTAAAGTTGATTTCTTTAGATTTGTTTACTGCCTCAAGCGTAGCCCACTGACTAATAAGAAAATTAGGTTCAATATAAACTCTTCTCAAAGATGAGTAGGTAATGGTGAGAAGTCACTTTCAGATGCAAACTGTAAGAAAAAGCTTTGCCAGACACACGACATTGTATTGTATGTGATGCAGATGAGGTAATAAGATGTGAGTACAATTTATTACCATTCATTCAAAGTAGAACTCATGTGAATGATATCTGATTCTTATTCCACAACAAATGTTTGAAATACAAACTGAGTAGAGAAAAGTATCTATTCTTGAAAACTGGAATTACTTTGGCATATTTGAAGGCGTCAGGAAAAACACCTGTCTCAAATATGAGGTTGACCAGTCCTGTAAAAGACGAAATTATAATATGTAGTGTTTCCATGATGATACAAGCATTCAAATTTTGGGCATCTGAACAGTTTGAAGGTTTCACACAATCAATCGCGCTCATAATATCCTGTTTGGTGACGGGACCGAGAAAAAAGGAGTTACATGGTGCTGGAAATTCTTCGACATCAATTAAATCATCCATGTCCATTTGGGGTGAAGATTTAATAATGGTACACGGAATATCAACAAAAAATTTGTTGAAATTCTCGGGAGACATGTGGGTTGTTTTTGAAACAGCCTTTGTTTTGTTACGTTCATAATTTATTATCCGCCAACATGCGTATGGTCTATTTTTAGAAGAGATGATGAATTCATCGTATTCCCGTTTTTTACTCAGTGTTATCTGTTGATGATATTCTTTTTTGAGTTTTTTGTACGAATTTATATCAGAAGGGTCATTACTGCTATCTGCGATAACTTTGATACTCTTCAATGACTCTTTGAAAGATTTAATATAGTGGATCACATGAGTCGCTGACCACCATACGGTAACCATGGTCGTTTTTGGTGGGCTTTCGTCTTTGGGAAGTGCATGGGTGACCGCTGTCCTGAAGGTCTCTTGTCGTAAATTATCAATATTCATCAACCGTGATGATCCTATCCAAAAAAAGGTTTTCTTGGTTGCGCAAAAGCAAACAAAGACCTCAAAACGTGACATTTTCTATCGATTGTTCAAATCGTGGGGCTCTCATTTCTCAAGCTTGTTGACCTTTCCATACGTTTGGGACCATCAAAAACCGAATGGGATGGGTCAGTCTCTGGAACGAAATTTAGCAAATCAACGTCGAACAGTGCGCTCATTAACACTATCATTACCAAATGCCTGGTTAATTGTTCGAGCTATTTTGGCAGGGTTTTAGCTCAACCTAATACTTTATATGTCAGTTTTGTTTGATCAAATACAAATATTTTCTGTTTCCACGTATACTTCTTCTGGACTTAATTTGTAGCTGATGCTCATTGATCATTGACAATCTTCCCTATGGCATTTAAATGCATTTTCGTGAGATAGCTAGTGCACCAAAATGTAGGAACTGAGATGGTAGGTTTTTAAAAATTCAAAAACTATCGTCACCCCATAAATCTGTTTTCACCCTAACGATATAACTATAAACAATTCGATCTTAACAAAGACAGGTAATAGTATCTGTATCTGTAGAGTAGGGAGTGTGAGTGTAAGCCCACGCACTTAGGCCACATGTGACCCATTGTACATCCTCCCGAGGAGTTGTCCTCCTAGGTCATCGTCCATCCTGTCCTTTCCAGNGTCCAATGATCTCTCGATTCTGCCAACCACATAATGAAGGGCCGAATCAGTGGACCTTCCCGGAGTATATGCATGCTGATTTGGATGAAGTGGGTATACAGGTAATGGTATATATAATTTTGTATAAAAATATGTATTTCATCACATCATTAATAAATTATTTACAAAACATTTGCCACTCTATTCGAAACGATTTTATATGTATTTCACTAAACAAGGTTGATCCTCATTGACGTCTTCTTCTTTTTCTTCGGGAATGTCATAATGCAGTTTCAGAACACTCTTGTTTTCCGGTTCCGCTTGCTTCTCAGTCGAAAAATTTTCACCCTTTTCTACGTCCAAATGGTTTACTAGGGGATGGGCTGAAGGTGTTTCTATTGGTTGATATTGGTTCGACGGCGCAAATTGGGCGAGGCCATTCGCTGACGAAACTCCCGTGAGGTATTTGGCCTCTGATTCTGAAAAAGAATATTCAACATGAAACAAAATTTAGAAATGAAAAAATGAATAGAATTAATAAATCATGTTCATTCATTTGTAAAATCATAATTAAGTTCATTTTATCAAAATATATTTCCTTCAGGCAATGTTTCATGTCTTAACTTCCACCTAGTCTGCATTGAAAATAGGTTGAATTCAACCATTGAATTCAATAATTCAAAAGTGATTTCTTACTGCATATGCTTCTCATATTATCCTAAAATTTTAGTTCACGTGTTTCACCAAAAATTCTATATCAGGTAAAATCATCCAAGATTTGTGGGATAACATTATAGGGAGTATACTGTTTGGAGTCTTATTACTTATCGAGGAGAAAGACATATATGTTTAAGAATATCGAAATAAAATCTCAAAACATTCATCTCTCCCAACGTTTGCACATAGTACGATCAGACAACTACTTCTCTGGATGATACCAGATCTTACCTCTCATCAGTATAGGTAAATTCCGACCAAAACAGCAGGGTATAGTCGAAGTAAACGATATTGAGCACTCTTAAAGTTGGCGGCACTCTCAAAGGCCACAAAAACCAATACATAGAAATGAACCGGCAGCGAACTAGTCCACGTGGACTATAGACTTGACGGTTCGTATTGGATAATTTTTACCAACCAAGTTTTATATGATTGGCTGAAGAGTTATACAATTGAATTTGAAGTCATGTTACAGTGACGAATAGAAATCGGGAATGCGGGGATGGTAATCGCCGTCGTGTTCAGTTCAGGAACTGATCGTTCGATATTGGTGCAGTTATAGTCACTTAAAATTTTTGTTATCTGTTCAAAATGTGGTGTTGTTGGACAAGTATTAATAGTAATAACGAGTGTGATACCAACGCAGACTTTTTCCAGTGTAGTGATTCCAATAGCGATGGTGAACAATTGGAAAAAGAGATACCAGTGAATAATATCGAAACACAGATAGTATGTTTCAATGTATATAAAAATCTACATCTCGAGTTTGGTTTCGAGGGAAACAAGCTATTACAAGCATCATCAGATTTGACAGAAATTCCTTTCTCAACTGTATGTAAAATAGTCAAAAACAAACCTTATGAACGCAAGACGCGATGTGATACAGGGTTACCAAAACCTATAGATGTTCATCTAATAAAATTATTGGAATAAACAATATACGACTGCTACAAAAGCAATGAGATTCTTACAACTCAAATCATAAGGGAGACATTGAATACTTCCGGCTATAACGTGAGCTGCTGTGACAAATATCTTCAGAATTGGATAAAGAAACTAGGATTCAGATTTGAAATAATAAACAAACGTCAAGCAGTTATGGAAATCAGGAGAATAGTGGAATTGCGTAACAAATACTTATAACAAACAACTGAATATAGACAAGAATATTCTATTTGGACGAAACTTGGAAAGACACTCACGATACAGTTACGACAGGGTGGACTGTTGGTTCAAGAATATGTACGCCTAACATGCTGCAAACAAAGGATCGCGACTAATCATAGTGCATTGCGGAGGAAGTAAAATTTGGGTTTCAAATTCTTTGAAATCATGTGGAAAAAAATTTTAGAATTGTAATGTTGACTATCATAAAAATATGGAAGCTTATATTTTCGAGAAATGGTTTGAAAACACATTGATCCTAAATTGGGATGCGAATAGTGTAATAGTTCTTGACAATACTCTCTACCATTCGCGACAGCTCATCAAAGTATGAATAAAAATTCGGGGAAAGATGAAATTTGTATTTCAAAGATTACTAAACCAAAAACCAACTACTTGAAATTTTACAGACAAAAACATTTGAAAAAGTGTATGCCCTTGAGAGTATTGCTGAAAAGTATGGACACACTCTATACTGAGACTTCCCCCCTATTTTTGTGTTTGCAATCCTATCGAGTTGATTTGGAGAAAATTGAAACAAAGCATCAGGCGTGAAAATAATTTTCCAAAAATTTATAAGACGGTAATAGAGCTAGTTGAAGAATAATTATATAATATTACCAAAGGAGACTGGCAGAAAAGTCATGTCATTTGAAAAAGACAATATGGAGATTGGACACTTCTATATTAATGTTGGAAATAAATTCATTATTGACTTAAATGACGACAGTGATAGTGAAACAGAGAATATGAAAGAGGAATCATCAGAAGCTTTCGAAAAAAGTTGGTGAAGTGTTTTTGAAGCGATCGTTTGTATAAATATGTAAGTAGTGTTCAGAAGTATTTTCAATTATAATCTTGTTATTCAAATCCCTACTTTCCCACTGATCTATATAAACGAAATATTCATTTTATATATTTCAACGGCCCTTAGAGGATGAGCCTGAGTAAATAGAGGCGATGACATCTCACCTTACGAAGACGTTATCTATGGGATCGACAGAATATTTAATCCACGAATAATAAAGATGAGATGAGATCAGAAATCGAAATGATTGAAACTATTCGTGCAGAAATGCATTGCATTTGGTGTATCGATCATTCATTAGCAATAGAAGAAAAGCAAATATGAAAGAATACTCACCAGAAGCTTGTTGTATCCTGTAAAATTCCGCTAAGTCAGCTCCTGAACAGAAAGGTGTATCGATGGCAATAGTATTATTGAATTTCGAGTAATTCACTTCATAACCCTGTCTGTCTTTATTGTAAAAAACTACCGGTTCGAATCTGTGTCCCCACAACACTTCACTTGCAAGATAACTCGATCTAGCTTGAGTGGTCTGACCAGTACTTTCAATTGTTCCTTCTAATATAACTACTATTTCGAACTTATCATGTATCATATCACTGGCACCGAGGTAGAAAAATGGCGAATTTTCGTCAATCCTGTGGACGATCGTCATGGGCCAGATGAAAAACAAGTTTCCATCGCAGCCATCTGCACTCAGAGACAGTTCCGTTTGGAAGGTGTTCAAGAGTTCACCCTCCTTCGTCTTTTTGGCACGAATGAGCTGAGCGCGGATACTAGCTCCGATGATGTGACTCTTTCTCATGTCGCCCACTCTGAACAAGAGGCAGAGGTACCCGTCACGCTGGCAGACCAAAATGTTTTTGGAAAACTGAAGAGTTTGCGTTCTCAGTTTCGGTCTAGTCATTTTTGCGAAAACTATACCGACCATAAAAGCCTGGATGATCATTCCGGCTATGCTTTGGAGACACATTATGAAAATGGCTTCTGGACATTCTTCCGTCGTAGTGCGTACACCATAACCTGCAGAAGAATAGAATTTTGACTCAATGTTAGATTATAAAGATGGGAAATATTTCACTGTTGTGAAGGAATCAGGTTTGGGTGTTCAATGTTCAAATTTTGCGGACTACGTACAATCGATTAGTGATTTTTTTATGTGTTCGGCTATTTTCTGCTATCGAAAAATATGGCATCAGTCTGGCAAACAGCTCCTAACTAAGTATTTATAACAATGGCATGAGGGTTTGCTGGCCAAACTTCGCAGCTGTGGCTTGTTGGATCATTTTTATGTATGACTCTTCAGCTTCCTGAAAGAACGTGTCCTACAAGTTCCCCAGGGATCTGTATTGTCTCCAACCCTTTTTCTATTGTATATCAACGACTTATTGGAAAAAAACAAGAATACAATATATTGCTTTGCTGACGAAAGCACACGTGTTTCGTCATTCTATTTGGATTTAAGAACATCGGCGGCGGATGCCCACCTTCACCGGCAGCAGGAAGTTGCATATCTTAATGAAAGTTTAGAAGTAATTTTGAATTGGATTGGAAGTAACCAGGTTCAATTCTATGTCACAAAAACCCAGGCGTCAGTTTTCTCCAAAAATATAAATGTCTACGACCCAGATGTAATAATGTCAGGCCAGACACTTCCACCTTTTGCTTCGATGAGTTTGTTGAGGGTTAAACTGGACACTAATATGTCTTGGCACTGGCCTGCCCCTCTGGACCTGTATGTTAAGAAGGTTGCGTTAATAGCCATGTTACGATTGCGCAGGGCTGGTGTAAACCTCGGAGTAGGAATGGGTCGATTGAAGATGAGCCTATGGCGAGAAGTGCTTACTGCGCAACCTCTGCTTCAGACAGCAATTCAACTCAGGTGTGTGTTTAATAAACCCTACCAAATACAATCAAAACAGAACACAGAGTCAGATGCTACAAATACAATACGCATATATGCAGACGGCTCCAAATCCAAAGGGGAATAGGAAAAAATTCCAGCGTGGTTCAAACAGAACTGGCTGGTATCTTAATCGACACAAAAGAAATAACCAGGGAAGAAATTTCTGGCAAAAACATAACAATATGCACTGATAGTAGACAAGCCCTATAGCCTTGAACAGACAACGTGTTACCTCAGGGCTAGTACTAGAGTGCCACCAAGATTTAGCCAAAGCCTCGGTAGATAATAACATTATCCTGGGGTGGGTTGAAGGGCACGACAGGAATAAAGGTAATCGCATTGCTGACTCTTTAGCCAAGGAAGCGGCTGGACTAAGAATTTCTGGACCCAGTGACACCTACGGCCTGATAACTTCGACAAGTGAGGAACCAGCCAAACGTCACACCCATGCTCAATCCCTAAACAGATGGGATCGAATTAAATGATGCAGTCTTGCCTAGATAACCCTGGGCTACCATGGGAAGCTGGCGCCGAAGAACTATCTGGCGATGACCAGGAAAACCTAAGCTTAACAGTGAGATTTCTGACTGGCCACTGTGAACTAAGGAAACACCTCCATAATATGGGGCTAGTGGACACACCTCTATGCAGGATGTGTGAACAGAAAGATGAAATTATCAGGCATGTCCTATGCGAGTGTCCGGAGCTATCTTCAATAAGAGAGTGTGTGTTCGGCGAGTCTTGTCCTTCACCTGCCGATATAAAGGAGATGTCTTCTAGTGACCTGTCCATCTTCCTGGAAAGGACAGGATGGACGATGACTTAGGAGGACAACTCCTCGAGAGGATGTACAATGGGTCACATGTGGCCTAAGTGCTGTGGGCTTACACTCACCTTCCCTACTCTACAGATAGATATATCTTGGCACAATCATGTCGCTGGAATTGTAAAAGCCGCTTCTTGAAAGCTTGGAACACTGTTCCGAACCAGAAAACTGTACACACCTCAGCAACAGGCACTGCTCATAGAGGGCGTTAAGGATTTTCCTGTAGTGCTTGTGTTTTTGTCTTAAAAAAATGGATATTTAGCACCACACGCTTAAAAAAAAATAGGTTTATTCTGATTTCAGACTGATTGAAAGTCAATAGTTACATCAAGCCATATGACTTGATATTGATGTTGAACACAACCTTAAATTCGTTTCGAATCATTTCTTATTTTTTAATCTGTGTTGCTATCAAAGCGTGTTTTTTAGTTTTCTATCACCACTTTTCAAGATGGCTCTTTTTCTTGCTTTGTGTTTTGAAATATTGGGGCCATATCGCTTTCTGAAAGGAAAAATAATTCAAATTTATGTGGCAACATTTTTTCTTTGTCGTTTGCAATATAATAGTCTGGATATAAATTGCTAAAATTTCTATATAATAGGTCCGTGACGAGAGGTTAAAAACAGAAACATACCATATGTAGACTATTGAATATGATATCTAGAGATTTCAACCTTTTGACTTGTGTCAAAGGAAATATAGCTTTATGAAAAATGGGAAATTAAACTTCCTATATTTTTATACCATTTGTATTTTTAACTAACATTACTACAATTTCATCCTATAAGGACGTTTTTAAACGAATACAATAGTATATTGTATCACTTTTGTCACTAAAAGAGCTACAAAAGTAACAAAATATGGAAATTTTATATGAGGAAACGTATCAAAAATCCAAAAAAACTTGTCAATAGAGGATGAATGATTTTGGATGAGATGAAAGAAGCGAGAATAAAATTTGAAAGAGAAAAGACAACTAGAAGAGTCAAGATCACTGAAGGTAGGAGGCACTATATAAAACCAAATAACACACAGACAATTTTGGAAGAGCCGTGGGAGATGGAGAGACCAGAAAAATACCGAATGGAAGTCATGAAACATCCATAGATAAAATAGATGAAGGTGAATCTGAGTAGGAAAAGTTCAACTGATAATCTTATTATATTAAGGCTTGGAATAAAGCGAACTCCACCTACGGCCTGATGACTTCGACAATTGCGGAACTAGTAAAATGTTACACCCGTGCTCAATCCTTGAAGAGTTGGGATGGAATCAAAGGATGTAATCTTGCCAAGATCACCTGGGCGACCCTGGGAAGCTGGCGCCGTAGAAATATCTGGCGATGAACAGGAAAAATCTACGCCTAATAGGATTTCTGACTGGCCACTGTCAACTAAGGAAACACCTCCATAATATGGGGCTAGTGGACACACCTCTAAACAGGATGTGTGAACAGGAAGATGAGACTGTCAGGCATGTCCTGTGCGAGTGCCCGGAGTTATCGTCAATAAGAGAGTGTGTGTTCGGCGAGTCTTGGTCTACACCTGCCGATATAAAGGAGATGTCTCCCAGAGACCTGTCCACCTTCCTGGAAAGACCAGGATGGACGATGACCTAGGAGGACAACTCCTCGGGAGGATGTACAATGGATCACATGTGGCCTAAGTGCTGTGGGTCTACACTCACTCTCCCTACTCTACAGATACAGAAAGCGAACCCCATTTTCGTAATGATAGTGTTTAGGAACAATCTAAAAGTGAATTGGGGATTCAAGAACAAGAATTCAAAGTTGGTATAAGAAGACACATCACTATATGAGAACAAAATAGGAACTATTGAGTTTGAAACATCTTCAGCAGAAAGGTGCATCTGAAGTTCCTAATTTTTAAGGTGATACTTAATGAGGGGTAAAAAAAAGGGACACGTTAAAGAAATACGTGGTAAGATATTGGAAAATGAAGAAGATAGTACTATCAGATATATGGTAAGTCGATGATGTGATCATAATAGGTAAGAACGGGATAATATAAACTTTTTACATTTTTGATATAGCAAAGAAAAACATATAAAAACTACTTGTGAAAAGACGAAAACAAAGATAATGTAAAGGCATACATGATAGCATAAAATAGAAATTAGCATAGAAAAATCAGAAGTGCGCAAAGTCAAACTACTAGATTCTGTTGTATCAGAAGAAAATCATATGTGCGTTCATGTGCGCTTATCTTAAGGACGGATTACCCGATTTGGGTATGGTTTTTTCTAATGCATTGTGATATATTTATTTACATCGAGTGTTTTATTTATGTCAGTTGGTTCATGAATAAAAAAGTAATGCCAATTCAAATAAAAACGTTAAACATTTATTGAAAAAAAAAACATAAAAATACTGTTCCGTTGATTTGACTGAAACTTTGGTTGGTTTGGTTGGTTGGTATTTACAGTTTGTGAGATGATTGTCTGATAAATCAAATACCCAAGAATATTTGGCTGTTAGAAAATCCAAAACCTGCAGTCTACGCAAACGAACTCCCGAACAGCAACTAGTTTAGGAATAAAATCGATAGAGATAGCATAATTTCGTAAAAGTTCAAATGTTTAATGCAATATTAAAAAAACTGTGGGAGATTTCAAAACACTATTTTTGCTAGAGAATAACAAAAAATATTTTTTGAACTGATGAATGTATAAGGTTGAAATAAATGTTACCTTCTCAAATCTTTCACCATATTGGCAACCCATGTTATACCACTCATTTTTCATTTAGAACTGTGCCCTACTTCTCAATCTCGATGTCATTGTTCCTTGATAAGTTTGCGAAACAGGATATTTTCAATTTACGTGTTCTACTGGCCTATAAAATTATTTATGGCGGATGTTCGAGGTTCGCTAATGTTTTTAAAGTTATAAAGAAAATCAAATATGTGAGGAAGAAACATATTTTCCTTCAGAATTTGTAGTAAACGGTTTTGATAATTGAAATTTCATCCTTAAACTTTTTTCATGCGATCTCCTCTCAGACCCCATTTTTTGGTCTTCCTAAAGCTTTACATCTGTCTTTTACAAGGATTCAGTCAGACCCTTAGCGAGTCTTTTGACTTTTTTATCAAAATGTGGGTTCACAAAGAGAGAAAAATATTAAAAAAAAATAAAAACTGTTGAATATGTTGTGATTGTGTGTGTTAGTGATTGAAAAAGATGGATCGACGAGATTTTGCGTAGACTACAGAAGGCTTAATAATGTCACTAGGAAGGACAGTTACCCTTTCCCTAGAATAGATGACACCCTCAACATCTTGGCCGAATGTAGATA